CTCGGTTAGCCTAACACAGTACACGTAGCAAGGTGTATTTTTATATACAGTTAAATTAAGTATACTATTAAGTATTACATACAACAATAAAACAGTGCATTGACATAAAAAAGGAAATTTACTTTTGGTACTTAAGTACTTTTAAAAGCAAGTACTTCTGTACTTTGACTTAAGTAAAAATCTGTCTTTACAACTTTTACTTGTAATGGAGTAATATTTGACCAGCAGTATCTGTACTTTCACTCAAGTAATGGAGTTGAGTACTTTGTCCGCCTCTGGTTGCGATCACGTCTTTTGCGGCAGCTTGTGAAATACATGGCATTTTATAAACAGCACTCAAGTCAAAAGAGGTTCAGCTTTTAAAATGTGTCTTGAAACCTTGTGTTACTTTTTTATTCCACTGCCTTACATCTATATAATAAAAATAAAGGTTCTGTGTGAATGGCCCCTCTCACTGTTTAATTATCAAAGCGGTTTCTTATCAAAGCCCATTTTCGATATAAGAAATAAAATGTAATGCTTTGGAAAATCATGATGTAAAATGTCAAAATTATGAGTCAGTTATGGGATAAGTTGAAACTGACAAAAAATTGAAATAATGAGATGAAAGTCATAACTGAGTCGAAATTACAACAAAAAGATCAAAATTATGACAAAAAGCCCTGATTATAAGATAAAGTCAAGAGTCAAAATTGTGAGATACAAGTCATAATTGAGTTAAAGTCAAGACAAAAGGTCATAATTTAGGTAAGTCTTAATTGAGGTAGGTAGAATTACAACAACAAAAAAATCTAAATTATGACACACAAAAAAAAATAAATAATTGAGATAAATACTCAAAACTGACAAAAAAAGTCAAAATTATGAAATAAAAAGTTATCAAAATCATAATTGAGATGTTGAAATTGACAAAGTCATAATTATGACAAAAATCAAAATAATCACACAAAACTCAAAATTGAGATAAATTGAAATGTGACAAGTCAAAATGATGACATAGGTCATAATTATGAGACAAAAAGTTGGCATTGTGACAAAAAAGTCATAATATTTTAGATAAAAGGTCGAAAAGGACAGTCAAAATTATGAGATAAAAGTGAAAGCATCACAAAAAAATTGAAATACAAGGTAAAAAGTTACATTTTATGTCACAATTTTCACTGATATGATTATGACTTAGTATCTCATAATTTCTGTTTTTGTCATCACTTGGACTTTCCGTAATTATTATTTACCAAAGCAAGATTTTATTTTTATTTATTTATTTGTTATGTGGCCAATCGGGCTTCTTCATCCTCTTGTTTGCTGCAGATTTGGCCGGCCTTCTCATGATGAGGTGTCCATTCTTGCTCCATTGACCCAGTGTTGCATGTAAGGGTCTTTCTCAAATATCAAATAATATTATTCTGAAGTTCATCTGAAGGACGGTATTAGACATGCACTTAATAAAGCCATGACCTCTCACAGGATCAAGCGCTCCACGCTGTTCAGACTGAAGCTTCTGGCGCAGTCCGAGTACCGTCTGAGCGACGTCATGAGGGCATCCCTCTCCAGAGACCCTCTCACGCCAGTCCTGACTGAGGACCACCTGCAGGCCTTGGACCGCCGGCTGGGCCAGGTGCTCAGGACGGTGGGAAAGTGTGTGAAGAAGCTGGGAGAACCACAAGTGGTGATCACAGACTTTGCAGAGTCATCCAGAGTAACTACAGGCAACAGGTGACAGAACGAGAAGAGCCAGGGTTTGAGGAGATATCAGCGATTCACTGTGTTACTGACTGTGTACTTTATGATCACTTTCAGACTAAGCCATTGAACTAAATCAGACCCTTTGGTGCAAAATCATGGCATCTAAAGACATCAGGAGGAAAAAGTATTTGTATTTCTGATAAATGCTCTGGGGCTGTGTGATAATATTAGTCTTAATTGTCAAAACTGACCAAAAGTTAAAATTATGAGATGCAAAGTCATAAGTATCACAAAATCAAACTTATCACAGAAGTCAAAATTATGAGATAAATGTCAAGAGATAAAAAGTCAAAATTATGGCTGTTATAATTATGAGACTTATGACAAAAGGTCAAAATTATGAGACGAAAAGTCAAAATTATGAGATAATTATTGAGTTAAAGTTGAAAAAAAACTGAATTATGAGATACATAAATTATCATGAAGCATCTAAATATGAGATCAACATCAATACTAAAATGTATTTTTGTCATTATGACTATGCAATTTTACCTGTCATGATAACTTTTCTCATAATTTCAATATACAAGTATATATAATATAAATACATATGACTTTTTATGTCATCATTTTGACATTGTATTCTCATATTTATGACTTTGTGTCATAATTTATTGGCTAAAAATGGCTGTGTGATATTACTAAAAAGCCTTAAAGGTGTCAAAGAAATGAGAAACCAAAATTGCCTTGATCTTTTGACGTATAAGAGGTCATTGTGCTATAAAAACATCCTGTAGGTTTCAGAACTCATAACTTTCTCGTTAGTCCAAAAACAGTTTATATTGAAGGCAGTCTGCGGAATGTTCTACTCTATGATGTAATAGTGTGGATAAACCCCGCCCCCGCAGAAGAAGATCGACATCGCTGCCTGTTTAGCCCCGCCCACCAATTCTACAACACTGGATAAAACTATGAGATAAATAAGTCATAACTGAGACAGAGTTAAAATTGACATTAAAATCAAAACTATGAGATAAAAAGTCAACATTAAAACAGTGAAATAAAAAGTCAATTCTAAAAAGCATTTCGACTGTTATGAATGAGTATCTCATAATTTCAACTTTCTATCTCATAAGTATCACTATCTCATAATTTTGACCTTTTATCTCATGTTTATAACTTTGTATTATAATTATGATTGGCTAAAATTGGCTGTGTGATATTACTAAAAAGTAAAAAAAAAAAATTGAGGAACAAAGTCATAATGATCACAAAAGTCAAAATTATGAGAAGTCAGAGAGATAAAAAGTTACAATTATGACAGCTATAATTATGAGATAAGTCATAATTGAGATAAAGAGTTGAATCTGACTAAACAAAATCAAAACTATAAGAGTCCAAATGATCATGAAACTGAAATAAAAAGTAAATAATAAACAAATAGAATGTGTCATATCTCATAATTTCAACTTTCTATCTCATAAGTATCACTTTTTACCTCATAATTATGATTGGCTGTGTGATATTACTAAAAAAGTAAAATTGAGGAACAAAGTCATAATTATAACAATGTCAAAATGATCACAAAAATCAAATTTATGAGCAATCAGAGATAAAAAGTTACAATTGTGACAGCTATAATTATGAGATAGTCACAATTATGAGATAAGTCTTAATTGAGATAAAGAGTTGAAACTGACTTTAAACAAAATCAAAACTATGAGAGCCCAAATGATCATGAAACTGAAATAAGAAGTAAATAATAAACCAACAGAATGTGTCATATCTCATAAATTCAACTTTCTATCTCATAAGTATCACTTTTTATCTCATAATTATGATTGGCTAAAAAGGGCTGTAATATATGACTTCAGAAAGCTCCCTAACAACACATTTAAGTGGTTGTCCTGATCTGGTTTAGACTGAAATCCCGAGCCAGACAGATGATGCAGCATCCGCAGGAAAGATAAGATCTTCAGATCTCCTTACATCAGCACACGCACCATTCATGTGGTGCTTTAACTGCACAGCGGGAAGCGTTTCCTCTGATTATCACTTCCCTTTCTGTCCATTTTTCTACAAACAACCATTAGTGGCGGCTGAGCTGATGATGCAGCACACAAACATTTTCTAGACGGATCGTAAGCGTGTAATCCTCAGCCGTCTCATCTGCTCGTACTTCACAGGCTGTCGAGTGGGATCTTTGAAAATTAATCAAACCAAATCATTTGACGTATTTAAGCTTTGTAGCAGCTTGTGGTTCGCCACACTATTGCACTATTGTCTTGTAAGCTGAAGCTAGCTTAAACATGTCACCATTAGTATGACCTTAAATGCTCAAAATGTGTTAACATTTTATTTTTAACATTCTGAATTGGTGGTGGTGGATAAATATAATCTGAAAAACTGTAAATCAAAACCTGGTCATAATTATTCATGACTGTTGACATTAAAATGACAAAACATTTGCATACTTTCTGATTCAGTCCAGCTTTTTTGATTTTACCACTCAAGCAGTCATGACTTGACCGTGTACATGAAATGCAAAATTAAAATTCATCACTTCAGTCCCATCTGTTGGGACTTGATAACTTGAAGCAGTAGCTCGTACTTTTTTTCCTCATTTGAGGCCATAATAATGAGCATTTCAGCATGCAAACCCAGGATGTTTCAAATTATATTCCAGAACTATATCTGCAGTATGTATATCATAACAGCATTCAAATGCAGAAAGTATCCAAATATACTTTGTTTACCAAAATGTGGAATATACACTACAATTCAAAAGATTTTTTCATGTTTTTGGAAGTCTCTTCTGCTCAGCAAGGCTGCATTTATTTGATCAAAATACAGTAAAAACTGAAATATTACAATATTATAATTAAAAACAGCCATTTTCTGTGAATATGTTAAACTGTAATTTATTTCTGTGATGCGCAGCTGTATTTTCAGCATCATTACTCCAGTCTTCAGTGTCACATGATCTTCAGAAATCAGTATAATATGCTGATTATTAGAAACATTTCCGATTATTATCAATGTTGAAAACAGTTGTGCTGCACAATATTTTTGTGGAATACATTTTATTGTTCAGGATTCACAGATGAACAAAGTTCAAAAGAACAGCATTTATTCGAAATAAATAAATAATGTAACAAATTTCTTTGCTGTCACTTTTGATCAATTTAATGCATTCTTGATGACTAATTTAATTTTTTTGTTTAATCTTTCTCAAGTGGCCCTTCCTTTTTTTTGACAAATGAATCGGAAGTAAATAAAGCTCATTTTAATCAAACTGCCAAAAATGAACACATTTTAACACAAAACACTTTTAGCAACTAACTGTAACAAGTCATTGTCAATATGACACCTGAACAGCACTCATATGCCACATGACCCGGTTACAGTAATAATAGGCCCATTCTGAACAGTCAGATTTTCTCTCGGTTGAACACTGCCCTCTTGTGTCTTGTACAGCTTCATGACTACTTGAACTAAAGACAAATAAGATTTGTTCATTTGTCTGGAAAGAAAGTCTTCCACTGCATTTGATGGTTCAATAACAACCTTTTTATTGCTTAAACTGCCATTTGGACGATCTATACCAAAATGATTATTTTTTTCTGGGTAACATTGACAAATCAAACATCATCAGTGGTCCACGATATATCAGCAGCTCATACGAGAGCATTAACAGCTCTATTCATCTGTTCATTCATCAGTCGCTCTCCATTCACTGATAGAAAACACAAGCGGCACTGCCATGAAGATGGAAATCAACCTAATAAACATTACAGATGCAAAGATGAAGCTGAAAGAGTTTGAAAATCCCGTGTTACACCATTTTAACATGCATTTCTCAAAAACTAAAACGAGCATTTTGTGAATGAAGAGAATCAAAGAACGACTGCTCTGGATTGTTTAACAGCAAAACAGAATATGGACATGCAAACAACAAATCGCCAATCTTCTGTTTAACCTAAACCTAATTTTATAATCGTTTCTGTCTTTTATTTCAACATCAAAACTGCTACAAGCCTGTTTAAAGGCACAGTTCACCCAGAATTGAAAATGTGCTCACCTTCAGATCATCAGAGATCAGGATGAGTTTGTTTCTTCCTCAGGTTTGGAGAAATGTAGCATTGCATCAGTGTCTCAGCAATGGATGCTCTGCAGTGAATGGGTGCCGTCAGAACGAGAGTCCAAACAACTGATAAAAACATCACAATAATCCACAAGTAATCCACAGCACTCCAGTCCATCAGTTAACATCTAGAGAAGACAAAAGCTGAAACACATCCAGCATTAAGACCTTTTTAACTAAAATACATAGAGTCCATAATCCATAGTAATCTTCCTCCAGTGAAAAAGTGTTCTGGTGTGAATCAGGAGAGAAATCTGCACAGATCAAGCAGCGTTTCAACAGCTCTAAACAAATATGTGGCTGGATTTTGATGTGAGAGACAATAGCAGATGCTCTTGTTCACTGGAGGAAGCGTTATTATGGATTATGGACTCATATTTGAGTTAAAAAGGTCTTAATGCTGGATTTGTTTCAGCTTTTGTCTTCTCCAGATGTTAACTGATGGACTGGAGTGCTGTGGATTACTTGTGGATTATTGTGATGTTTTTATCAGCTGTTTGGACTCTCATTCTGACGGCACCCATTCACTGCAGAGCATCCATTGCTGAGACACTGATGCAATGCTACATTTCTACAAACCTGATGAAGAAACAAACTCATCCTGATCATGCATGGCCTGAGGGTGAGCACATTTTCAACACTTTTCATTTTTGGGTGAACCGTTCCTTTAAGAACAGCCACAGAAACACTTGACATTATGATGTGTGACTAACTGTGCACCTTTGTGGAAAAATAAACTTGTTAAAAAATAAAACTGGTATTTCTCAGCATATACTGATAGAAAGGTAAATACTGAAGCATTCTGACTGAAAGCTCATTCGGTGACACACAAATGAAACGAAATCTGTCACACTCTCCTCTAGAAGCTAAATTCAAGTCGAGAAGTGAAGCTCTGTGCAAGGTTTGACACTGGCATCGTAACAGAACACAAACTACTATCGTTTCCAGTTTTCAAATGAGTTTTAAAATTTGATTTTACAATAAACCCTAAACGTATAGATACTGCACAGGAACGGCCTCACGAGTTTCTACGATAAGCAGTAACGCGAGTTACGTAATCAGATTACTTTTTTCAAGTAACTAGTAAAGTAACGCATTACTTTTTAATTTACAAGAGAATTACTCTCTTAGTTAAGATAAGTTACTTTTTCAAATAAGTAACGAAAGTTACTTTTTTTTTTTCAAATTTGATTGACAGCTCTCCTGTCCCCTTGTTGAGAAATTAGATGTTACTGTAGTTCTAAAATAAATATGAATATTCATGAATTCATATCACTCACAAAAAAAAAAAACACAGATTCAGTATTCCTCAAAATGAATAAAAATAATGCAACTCAGAATATGACGCAAACCTGCAATAATTAAATGTTAAACAACACAAATATGCTTTATGTATTTAATCCCATTCTATTTGCTTCTGACCTTCGATGATCCAGTTCAACCGTACTAATAATCACACATTACTCTAGAGAAACATTTGTGTCTTTTTTTATTGCTGAAGTGTGTTGAAATGTCTTCTTCTGTGTTCTACTGTACGGACGTAAATGTACTTTCCCTTCAGCCTGAGGCTTATTCATTTCACGTTTGGTGTGAAAAGGCTTTTATATTTGCCAAAAATATGACTTTTTTATTTTAAAAACAAACAAGCAAGCCCTGTCCAGATTTAAAACGTAACGCAAAAGTAACGTAACGCATTACTTTACATAAAAAGTAACTAAGTAACTTAATTAGTTACTTTTTTAGGGAGTAACGCAACATTGTAATGCATTACTTTTAAAAGTAACTTTCCCCAACACTGACGATAAGCAACTGAACACAAACCGCAAGAGTGTGTGCTGGAATGATAAGAAGAAATAAAACAGCATGTGTTCATGTTGATAAAGGAAGGGAAATGAGGCAGTAAGGCTTAAAGAAAAGAACCAGCACAGCCATATATGTAGGCAGTTCATCTTATAAAACTAGTCTTAAAAAAACTGGTCTGTGAGGGTAAAATGGTTTTAGAATAACTCTACTATAAATATATTCATACTTCTCTATTGTTTTCATTGACTACTCGGAATTAAAGGTAAAAACACTGCAGAGTAAAGGCTGTGACTGGATTGGAGGAACGTACGTTTGATTGTCTGTCCTTTCATTCGGCTCCAAGTGTCCGGCGATGAAAGCAGCCGTTAAAGCTCTGGACTTAACGAAGCGGTAATGAGCCTCTGAACATGAGCTGGGCCCTGCGGGAAAGGTTTTCAGGGTGGGGCTCTCAGACGGAGAGCGACACGAAGCTGTTGTACTGTTGGATGTTGCGTTTGAGGATGTCTGAACACGGGCCCAAGACACGCTCGAAACGCGGCCGGTCCAGCTTGACGCATTTGAGCGGCCCACGGGCCACGACGGTGGCGGCACGGGGTCGGTTCATCAGCAGAGCGATCTCGCCTAGTGAACACACACAACACACAAATATTAATGTTACTCATATTCTTTATTTGTATTATTTTTTATATATGTGACCCTGGAGCACAAAAGCAGTCATAAGTAGCAAGGGTATATCTGTAGCAATAGCCAACAATACATTATAGATTTTTATTTTATGCCAAAAATCATTAGGATATTAAGTAAAGATCATGTTCCATGAAGATATTTTGTAAATTTCCTACCGTAAATATATCAAAACTTAATTTTTGATTAGTAATATGCATTGCTAAGAACTTCATTTAAACAACTTTAAAGATGATTTTCTCAATATTTAGATTTTTTTGCACCCTCAGATTCCAGATTTTCAAATAGTTGTATCTCAGCCAAATATTGTCCTAACAAACCGTACAGCAATGGAAGCTTATTTATTCAGCTTTCAGATGATGCATAAATCTCAATTTTGGAAAAATGACACTTAAGACTGGTTTTGTGCTCCAGGGTCACATATATTAATGCATTAGTATATTTACATAAAAGGGAGTTCATACAAAAACGTCATTCAGAGCCTAAATCATGAAATGTCTGAGGTTCCATTTTTATATGGAGGAATGTGGACGGTGATTTATACTGCAGAATTCACCATCCACTTCTACTTTATAAAAACAGAAGCTCGGGCATCTCTTCTTTTCATTTTTGGGTGACTATCGCTTTAAGAATGTGCACCGAAACTTACCGAAGTATTCTGACGGTCCTACCCGGCCGACCTCCACGAACTCCTCATACTCTGACCTGCGCTGCAGAACGGCTGCACATCCCTGAGGAGACAGACGACCGGACCTCAGAAAACACAACTCTTACGCAAACACTGACAGGCTTTCACAGCAGAGCTTCAGATACTGCACCTCTAGGATGATGAAGAACTCGTCCCCTGGTTCTCCCTGAACCACGATCTTCTGTCCGTCCTCGAACTGCACTGGCTCCAGAGCGTCAGCCACGGTCAGACGCTCCCACTTATCCAGAGACTCTGCAGTCAGCACATACACTCAAGATACAGCAACTACACACAGAGCTCTCTCGCTCTATATATACAGTCATTTGTAGTTATAGAATTTGATATATGCGACCCTGGAGCACAAAACATTTTTGTGAAATTGAGATTTATGCATCATCTGAAAGCTGAATAAATAAGCTTCCACTGATGTATGGTTTGTTAGGATAGGACAATATTTGGCCGAGATACAACTATTTGAAAATCTGGAATCTGAGGGTGCAAAAAAATCTAAATATTGAGAAAATCATCTTTAAAGTTGTCCAAATGAAGCACTTAGCAATGCATATTACTAATCAAAAATTAAGTTTTGATATATTTACGGTAGGAAACTTACAAAATATCTTCATGGAACATGATCTTTACTTAATATCCTAATGATTTTTGGCATAAAAGAAAAATGTATAATTTTGACCCATTCAATGTATTGTTGGCTATTGCTACAAATATACCCCAGCGACTTAAGACTGCTTTTGTGCTCCAGGGTCACATATTGTCTTGTACTTGCGAATGCAATATCGCGTCTCATCACACATCAGAGCTAGATAATCACTTACCTAAAATAGATACTTTGCTCAAGAACTCCTCGTACATCTTCCTCTTCCTCAAAGTGCTTCCCTGTGATCAAACACAGGACAGATGTATGTTTTGTTGCGTGTGGTGTGTGTGAGGTGTGTGTGTGTGAGTGTAGGGCAGCTGTACCATCAGTATTCTCCTGTAGCTGTCTCTGTCGATGCCCCAGAGCTTGGCGTTGGTCTTGGCTCGGACGGTGGCGGCTCTCGGGGTGCCGTAGATCAGAGCCAGCTCTCCGAAGCTGCCGCCCTCACCGATGCTGGTGACCCACTCGCTATTCACACACACCTGCGAGCCAATCAGGATACAGACAGAGCAAATCCAGAGAGGGACTTTTAGGCTGAAAAAATGTTTTTTATATGAAGACATCTTAAACTGCAGTGTTGTTTGTGTGTAAAAGTTTTTCCGGTGACAACAGCGGTCGTCCTTAACAAGAATGAGTTCGAGAATCAAAGTCTTTTTATACAAATGAGAGATTATGAAAATGCTTGAACTGCCGGTACTTTACTCTACAAAGCACAAACATTTCACAATTAACTTTTTGCGCCAGCTCGGGTCACCAAATACAAGTTTGTTAAATTCTAAATGGTGGCAGTTATAATTCAGTTAGTTTTGCCGTTCTGTCCGTTTGGTGCTGGCTGTGCATTATGACTCTCCACGTGAATTTTCGCTATTATTATTATTATTAAAATTTGTTGTATTAAATACAACATAAATATAAATATTGTATTGCATGCTCTCCTTTGCATTATTAACGTGATGGTTTAAATGTACGTTGTATAATGTGGCCTGGGAAATAAATATTAAACAAGAGATGACTCGGATTCGTGACTTTATTCCTATTGTATCAGATTACGTTGTTGTGTTGAGTTTAATACGCTTCAACCGGACTCAGTTTTGTTTAATGTATTCTTGGAAAAAATGTGCATCTGGACATAAATGTTGTCGATTTTAAGTAATTTATCATGACGTGGTGATTCGAGGGAAATGACTGAGTAAATTGAGATAACACGCTCAAATGTACCGGAGATCAAAGACTATATAAAGAGGGATGTCAGAGATGGAGAATAGAAACCATCTGGCACGATGTTATCACGAGTCAGCGGTCTGAGTGGCCTTAGAACTTACAAACAAGTAAAACGTTATTTCTTTGTAGATTATATAACAGCACTTGGAAAACAGACAAAACAGAAAAGGTAAGACGCATTATTTGATACTAATATAATAGGTGCAGGCCTGTAACAGAACTAACTTTACCCTGCGCTGACATGCTAGTCACTTGCTAATCATGCTAGCAACATGCTAGTAGCATGCTATTCATGCTAGCGACATGCTAGTAACTCGCTAATCATGCTAGCATAATGCTAGTCATGCTAGCAACAGGCTAGTCACTTGCTAATCATGCTAGCAACATGCTAGTAACTTGCTAATCATGTTAGCAACATGCTAGTAACATGTTAATCATGCTAGAAACAGGCTAGTCACTTGGTAATCATGTTAACAACAGGCTAGTCACTTGCTAATCATGCTAGCAACATGCTAGTCACTTGCTAATCATTTTAGCAACATGCTAGTAACATGTTAATCATGCTAGAAACAGGCTAGTCACTTGCTAATAATGCTAGCAACATGCTAGTCACTTGCTAGTCATGCTAATAGCATGCTAGTCACTTGATAATCATGCAAACAACATGCTAGTTACTTGCTAATCATGCCAGCAATATGCTAGTAACAGACTAATCATGCTAAAAACATGCTAATCATGCTAGAAACATGTTATCATCATCTATATACATTTTCAAACCTCAGGCTGTTACAACTGCTTTAAACTCTCAGACTAGGCTTTGTCAAGCCAACCTAGTTTGTCTTGACGAACTTTTTTATCTAGTTATTATTATTATTATTATTATCAGGTTAGTAATACTTTCTAATTAATATTAGGGCTTATTTGTATTTTGTACCAATATTTTTTTCTCAGCATTTTTACAGTGTTATAACCAATCACACACGATTATATTGAGCTTATGAACGCAATGGCTAATCAGAGGTGTTCAGATGTGTTTTGTTTGAATTCTGACTCGCGAATTCTCTCATCATAAACAACAGAGTGCAGATGTACATGCGATTTAAGCATAAGAGATTTATTCATCATACCGTGTAGATAGCTCCACTGATTGTAATAGGAGTGTTTTTTAAAGTGCATACACTCGCGCTACAAAGTAAGTGTTCTTTATGTAAATGTTCTTGGGCGTTTTATGTAGCTGCTTTTTAAAAAACGGAGGAAATGTTAGCATAATTAGTAACTTAATGTTTATAAAGCGGATAGTTCCGGTGCTTGATTCTGATTGGCTGAGCCGCATTCGAAGCTGTTGTAAATGACTCTACAAAGTAACACACCTTTGTTTACGTTTGTCTGTTGCTCGGCAACCACTTTGTAGCAACCACAACTGTTTCTGAGGAGCTACATTGTTTGGTGGAAGAATACTGTTTTTATTAATATCATTACACTTTATTTGCTCTGTTTTATTTTGTGAAACCTTCGCGTCGTGCCTAACAACGCCCCTTAGCTGTTATAAATTCACTGTAAACCACAGCTTCTTGGGGCTTATTGCTTTATTTCTATTAATTTGTTATGCTAAATACAAATTCAGTCATATTAAAAACATTAGGCTGCTTTTAGCCTTACACTGGAGTTGGTTCACTTTCCCGCAATGAAACTAAGTAGATAAGTAATGAAATAAATTAGCATGATAATATCGTGTATTGGCGATCTCACAGGCTGACGATAGGAAGATATGATAATGGAGCATATCGCCCAACACTAAGGTGTAACTTACATCCATTTCACCCTGATCGATGACATAGAAGTTATCGCCCTCGTCACCTAGAAACAAGCGTGAAACAGTAAAGCTAAGTACATGTATAAATAAGATCAATGTGATTCCTCATAAGTATTCTCAAAGCTCTACCTTGCTGGATGACTATCTCTCCTGCGATGTAGATGACCGGAAACATTGCGTCAAATATGTCACTGCAGGGTAAAACAGCAGACAAATTTGGTCAGTAAATTATTTTATGTATTTCTTTGACAGCACCACACTTTTAACATTTGTGAAATGTTATGTTTAGTTTGCAAATGAGGCATTATATTATTAAATATGCACTAATTTGTATAAATATCCAGAACATAAATCTGAAACTTGGATAAAACCAGATTCAAATCTCTTGTTTGAATTTAGAGTTAAAGACGGGATTGTTGGATTTCACTTTTTATCACTCCATAAATCAGAAAATGTTTTTAGGAATAAAATCAGCAAATTATATATGAACAAACCTCTCTGTAAAAACCTATATGAGAATATAGGTAGGAATAAAATGCTCTTTAAAGAGATGCATTGTATTAAAAATCTACACACAAATATATGTGACCCTGGAGCACAAAAGCAGTGTTAAGTCGCTGGGGTATATTTGTAGCAATAGCCAAAAATACATTGTATGGGTCAAAATTATAGATTTTTCTTTTATGCCAAAAATCATTAGGATATTAAGTAAAGATCATGTTCCATGAAGATATTTTGTACATTTCCTACCGTAAATATATCAAAACTTAATTTTTGATTAGTAATATGCATTGCTAAGAACTTAATTTGAACTTTAAAGATGATTTTCTCAATATTTTGATTTTTTGCACCCAATATTTTTTGCCAAATATTGTCCTAACAAACCATACATCCATGGAAAGCTTATTTATTCAGCTTTCAGATGATGCATAAACCTCAATTTCAAAATATTGACCCTTATGACTGGTTTTTGTGGTCCAGGGTCACATATAAAGTGTAATAACAAAATCATGCAAATGATATATAAACAAACCCCTCTGCAAAATCCTTCATATACAGGAATAAAATCATATGGTTTAATATATGAAAGTGCTGCTGAAGTGAAAAAAAGATCAAAGTTATGTATTGTAATTGAAATCTGAACACATATAGATAAAGTGCAATAAAAGTGCGTTTTCTTTTCACTAGTCTGAAAAAAAAAACTCAAAACTGTCCAGTGTATGAAAACAAACAAGCAAATGTTTTGCTAAAAAATAATAAATGAACTATAACACAAAGTCACCTTCTTTCATTGTCGTCCAGATGTGAGAAGAGCACATTTTTTTCGATGGCTTTGGCGAGAGCAGCCATGGTTTTGTAGTCTTTAGGAATGACCTTCACAGGAGACAGAACACATGACTGACTGAGCTACACATCGAGTCCGACACTTCCCACATTACATCAGTCTGACAAACACACACCTTCCTGACGTAGGAGGCGGCGTCCTCCTCGGTGTAGACCTCAGCGCTGATGGCTCCTCTCCGTCTGCGGCCCTTCACCACGGGGTTCATGGGAGGAGACACCTCATCTTCACGAGAGTCTGAGCGAGAGCTGGCTTTCTGCTGGGTCAGCAGCTGCTTAGCTTCCTCCTGATGCATGCATGTTTATGAAAAGTATCATTTTATGAGGAGGACAGATTCTGGTTGGATTTGAAGTCGAAGCAGCAACAGATCTGAACTAAATGATTGGAGAAGTCCTGCATGCGTAAGCAGAGAGAAGTCTGGCGTTTCACTGAAAAATCCTGTTAAGTTTAATGAAAAATTACGAGGTCAAAAAATAAATAAATAAAATAAAATAATTGACTTTCTGGAATGTGCTGCTAAATTTAAAAAAGCATTTTATTAAAAATAGCATTTAAAAAAAAAAAAAAAAAAGAAAAAAATATCGTTATTGTAAGTATCGTTATTATTGTAACTAAAATTACAAAAAGAAAACAGATAAAATTAAAAACGTAGCTTTTTTCATGCTTTTTTTGTTGGTTTAGGTTGAAGCGCTAAAATTACTACCTGGAAATAAATAAAAACTAAAACTGAAATAAATTAAATTAAAACTAAATTGTAATATGAAAAGAAAAATAAACTTTAAAAAGACAAAAGCACATACAAATACTAAATATTTAACAACAATTAAATATATAAAAATAAAAGCTAATTAAAAATAAATTAAAAACCATAATAGTATATAAATAATATTTTAGGAAATATACTGAAAAATCTAAATCCTTGAGTAAAATAAATGCATATTTGTACATATTTAATAACATGAGGGCCAATTTGCACAATTTATTCCGATTATAATAATTATTATGAATATATTTTAACTAATTAATGAACATGGGTGTCTTTCTATCACTGCTGCCGCTAGTTTACAAAAACAAAAAGACACGTGTGGCTGTGCATTACCGCATGAGCCACTTACTATTTTAATAAACACATTACCAGATGTTGAAAATCCTATTTAAGCAAAGTGGTGTCAGCAGAGGCTCCTGATCTGGTGATTTTGTCAGAATTGTGTACAAATGTGACCCTGGACCACAAAACCAGTCTTAAATGTCAATTCTTCGAAATTGAGATTTATGCATCATCTGAAAGTTGAATAAATAGCTTTCCATTGATGTATGGTTTGTTAGGATAGGACAATATTTGGCTGAGATACAACTATTTGAAAATCTGGAATCTGAGGGTGCAAAAAAATCTAAATATTGAGAAAATCATCTTTAAAGTTGTTCAAATGAAGTTCTTAGCAATGCATATTACTAATCAAAAATGAAGTTTTGATATATTTACGGTAGGAAATTTACAAGATATCTTCATGGAACATGATCTTTACTTATTATCCTAATGATTTTTGGCATAAAAGAGAAATTGATAATTTTGACTCATACAATGTATTGTTGGCTATTGCTACAAATATACCCCAGCGACTTAACACTGCTTTTGTGCTCCAGGGACACATATAAGTGCAAACCTTTTCCAGCCGTTCGAAGTGTTCTCTGAGGAAGGCCATTGGTCTGTCGGGTCGTGAGCTGCACAGCTGCACGATGCAGTCCTTCAGCAGCTGCTGGACGCTGTGCTTCTGCACATATCCCTCACACTCCCTCATGCTCGTCTCCTCCTCGCTGCTCATGCTGCCTGACGCCATGCTGCACGCTGGATCTGACCTCTGACCTCTGACCTGCAGCCGCGCACAAATACAAACCAATGCATCACAGTTACAACTCGGCGAGATGCTGATCAAATGAAACCAGCCTCAATATTTCAGAAGTTCGACACCACAAACCGTAAGCGTTTGAGAGCATACAAAAGCAAATACATATACAATGAAAAGATACATAATCTAAATATTCTAAACATAGAAGGTCTGAAATGTATTTGAAGAGTTTATTTGCAAAAACAGATAATCATGTTTTTTTTTTATTATGTTATCATGTTTTTATTGTTAGTTAGCTGTATTTTTAGTTATTTTTTAACTAATCAAAATAACCCAACTGCAGTTTTATTTAGACTAATTGGAATGCACAATGAAAAAACATGATTTTTGAGTTATCAAAAAGCTGAGTTACCTGTTTTTGCAAATTAACTTAAAAATTAAACAAAATATCCCTTAATATAAGGTGCAACTTGGTGGACAAAATGAAATGGTTTCACTTTACAGTCATTAGCATTAGTTAACTATACTAGTTAACATGAACAATACTTATACAACATTTATTAATTTTAGTTAATGTGACATTCAACATTTAGAATACATTAATAAAATCAAAAGTTGTATCTGTTAACATTAGTTAATGCACTGTGAAGTTGAGCAAGAGCATTTTTATTAACTAACATTAACAAGGGTTAATAACAGCATTAATAAATGCAGTAAAAATTAATGAAAATATTTACCGGTAGTTAATTTTATCCTTAATTTTTTTAATTATTCAAAGAGTTGGTAACACTATTTTAAGGTGTCCTTGTTACATGTACTTACTTTTATAATAACAATACATTAAGAATAATTGCATGCAAGTAACCCTAAACCAAACCTAACCATATAGTACGTACATGTAGTTAATTAATATTACTCAGTACTTAAATGTATAATTACACTGTAACACTGTATATATTTTGACTTTCATTTTTTGGTTACACTTTATTTTAAGGTGTTAACATAAAGTGTAACCAAAAAATGAATGTAAAAATATATAGTTCATTATGTTAGTTAATGCATTAACTAGTGCTAGCAATTAGACACATGCGTCTAATTGCAGAAAATACAGTAAAACTAAAAACAAACACCCATCTGTCTTAAGCCATCAAACATGTTAGCTATTCTGATTTATGTATTTGATGTTCGATGTACTTTGATGGAAGAAGACACTATAGCTGTGATGATTCCCTACAATCCTGTGCATGCTGCAGAATTAATTAATGCACAAACACTCAATGCAAAAGGTAACTAATATCCAGTGTTGGGCGTAACGCATTACAAGTAACGCGAGTTACGTAATCAGATTACTTTTTTCAAGTAACTAGTAAAGTAACGCATAGAAAAAACAAAGGAGATCATTGTTGATTTCAGGAAGAAGCAGCACAGGCACACAGCACTCATCATCTGTGAGTGAAACTGCGGTGGAAGTAGTCAGTAGTATCAAGTTTTTGGGTGTGCAGGTCACAGATAGCTTGACACGGACCGTTAACACACACACACACACACACACACACACACACACACACACACACACACACACACAGTATATATTTTTGAAAATATTTACATGTATTTCCATGTCTATATTTATATTTATATACTTTATATTATAGATACATATATTTAATATATAAACATAACATATTTTTCTGAAATATATACATCCATGTGTGTGTATTTATATATATACATAATAAATATACACAGCACACATACATATATTATGTAAACAAAAACTTTTATTTTGGATGCGATTAAATCGTTTGACAGCACTAATATATATATAGACAGATAGATAGATAGATGTTTATATATGCCATGTTTATTTATTTGTATTTATTTATTTAGTTAGTGTTATTGAATGAGTTTCAAAGTAAGTCTTAAGGTTGACTTGTGAATTTTGCTAAAACAATTCAAATATGAATTGAGTAATTTTATTCTTCAGAAAAGTGTGGGTTTTAATAAACAAGTAAAGTAAAATATCGTAAGGTTATACATTTACTTTTACTTTTTTTTTTTTATCTACCATGTCCATTTTAAAATTATTAAAACATTACAAAAAATGGCAATAAAAAGTTTATTATTAGTCCAAACGGAAACGTTTTTTGTTGTTGTCGAGTTTTTAGTTTTTACACTCGCTTTTCTTGTTGTTTTATTATTGGAGATTTTCCTTTAATGCACTTACAATTTATATTTTTTTTTACATACATATGTGTATTTTATTCACATCTTATTTTTTATTATCTGTGTTGTTGATGTTGTCTCTGTGTTCTGGAAGCTTGTGACACCAGAACACATTCCTTGTATGTGCATTGTGCAAACACACTTGGCAACAAAGCTCTTTCTGACTTCTGTTGATATATTTCTATGTTGTTTTGCTGCTTTGGCTATACACAATGCACTTTCGTCGTGACAATAAAGCTATTTGAATGGCGAAGAGCGTAATGACACGATAATGGCATTTTTAAACGTTAAATCGCTTTATTGTTCATTACAAGTTCACAAACTTTCCACGATTTTTGATCGGAGCTTGAGGGCTCGCTCTGGAGGAGGGGCTCTGGCGCAGTGCGGTCACGTGGTCAGAGCGCGCATGCGCGGTGTGCGTCAGTAACGTGAGCTAGTCGGAAACATCAGTGAGAGGAAACGTAACGTTAGACTAGCGAGAGATAAAGAGCAGCTGAGGCGGGTTTGAGACGCGTGTGTTTTGATATACAACAAAGCGAGCATGGAGTAATCTATAAAGTCTCGCTGATGCTGTTTTATTCTTTCAGACCGGATTTAAGAGTTCGGGATAAAGCTAATGCTCTGGCTAGCCGCGGTAAGTTAACGTTAGCTCGTCGGATAAAGCCAGAAATAACTAAACGCGATTCTCTGACCAGATAACTTAACCGATAGATCATCCCAGACATCATCAGTCTGGAGTTTTGTTTTTTTGTGGGAGGCTTTCTTTAAATGCGAGTGCTGTTGATAGATCACATAACATATCGTACTGTATTTAGTCACCTGAACTGTAGTACTGTGTCCGCGTGGGAACTCAAACGATCACAAAGCTGGAGTGAATCTTGAAGTCGTCTTGAGATGTGGCCTGTGTTTGACTGACAGTCATGGGAGGCTGCGTGGGGCGCGAGAGCTCGGAGTCACGTGGACACGGCTCGAGGAAGCGCGGAGGTGAGGCTCTGTGCATCTGTGATGCGATGCTGCTTTGCATGTTTGTTTCGCTGTGTGGCTTTCTTCAAAACATGCAAATATCATGATGTGGGAGCAACTGACACAACACATAAACCAAAAGCACCACGACATTGCCATGTTACAAGGTGTTATTTGTGAACTTACAAATGGTAAGCATGTAGTATTTTGATATATGCATCAAACTACCATCAGTATAACACGAAAGAATGTTTGTTTTCTAATGCAAGGATTTATTGAGACTGTACTTTTGAGTTTAAACGAATGATTATTTAATTAGTAAATATATGCGTATTTCAGATGTGTTGAATCCCACAAAACTATACCCAAACTAAGGAGTGTCATGATGCTACTATGGTGAAATGTGTTGATTATTACCATGTACATGCCATGTTTTAGGAATATGATAAGCAAACACTATAGTGTATATATACCACATTGCAATGCTTTTAAAATGTTAGTTTTTTACTACCTTTCACAAAAATGTAGCTAAATTGGTTGCAACAGACAAAACCACCAGCACAATTACTATGGTGTTACCATGTTTTTGGTTTCCATGTTGCACCAAGATATTATAAATATCACGGCACATAAATACATGAACTTAACTTATTTAGTTCTCCTATTACTATGCATCAAAGTTCCATAGGCTATCACCACAGTACATATTTCTAATACATTTTTGTTTTCATATACAACCATTATTTTGTGGCTGTACTTAAAATGTGCATATTTCAGATGTGTTGAATCCCACATTATACCAAAACAAAAGAGTGCCACGGTATTGCACACGCATGCACGTTATTTTTATCTGCTCGTACTATGGTTTTCTATGGTGAAATATAGTGATCACCATGTAAATGCCATGTTTTAGGAATATGATAAGCAAACACTGTAGTGTATATCAAAGTGCAATGCTTTTACAATATACTTTTAGAACAAAATCTTAAAACTTGGTTTTTTGAGTGGTTTAAGCTCGAATACGTTCATAATTTATTTTTTGGTGAATCTGATTACATGCTTAATAACAATGTAAAATATTCACAATTTGTGTGTTAGACTGATTTGTGAGTGTTTTTGACTGAAATGAATCTGTTCGTAAGAGTCGTTTGTTGTGAATCGGACTGCTGTGTGTTTGTTGTGGACAATCGTGCATTTTTGGTGCTCTTTTTATTGTCTTGTACTTTGTCGCACTTACTTTCTCTCTCACATTGCTTTTAGTTTGAATGCATGTTCACAACGCTTGAACGGTTACAGAACCAAACCATAAATATGCTTTGTACAGCACTTGCACGATAACAGAGTGAGCAGTTGTGAAGAAGAGTGAGGAAGCGGGAACGTCTCGTGTTCCTGTAACGCAGATCTGTCGCGGCTTGTGTGAGTGTAACGAGAGAATTACAGAAGAATGCAACTTTATAGAGCTCCTGGCCTCGAGACAACGAGCGAGCCGATTACATATGGTTTGACTGGAGATTATACGAGCTGCTGGACTTTGACAGTCACATTCTGCCTCGTCTCTTGCTGTTGTGGCTCAAGTCATAATCATAAAATGGAATAAGCTCTTTGACCTGAGATGATTGAAATCACAAGTGCTCCTTCCATCTAGCCTCGTGTTGCAACAGCCAATGAAATTGCAATAAAATCTCAAAGAAACTGGCTTCAAGCACTTGGCTTCTGGGAACGTTTAGAGTCCCTTTCACATTGTCAGTGGTCTCTTTTATTTGACCGAAGCACTGGATTATAAACACAGCCATTTGTCTACATTTCTCTGCCTGTCACTTTGAAAGCCCTCTTTTGGATTAACCCTATAAATCCTGCAGTATCCTATTACATACACACTTTCTAAGTCCTCTAAATGATCAACGTGATCAAAACTTTGCTTAAAAACCATAATCTACTGCATGTCTTATGTCTCTGATTGATAGTTTAGAGTTTTTCTAATCCAGTAAAAGCACTTTTAGTGTAATTGTACAAGCGTCCAGCTTCAGCTCGAGCTTCTCGTGTCAAATCCTGACTGGTTTTTATCAAGTAAGCGTCAGAATAACTGCAGTAATATCTCCAGATGAACACTTACTGGACTGAAGCAGCTCAGCTTTACTTGATTCTCCATCAATCATGTTTTAGAGTCTCAAATCTGATCCTCAGGATCTTTTGAGGAGCGTTTGTTTCCAGAAGCTTTACTTTCACTGTTCCTCAGCGGAGGAATGATCTTCACAAGCCTCCAGAACATCTCACATCTTCTGAGGAGCCTTTATTTCTTCAGCTCTCAATCACTGCATTATATGTTTGGAGCATTTCAATCTCATCTCACTGAGACAGATTACTGGAGATATAGAGCGACCACTGATATTCATATCATTCTATGTCAGTAGAATGTATGTCAGCATCTGCTGCACTGTTATAAAGATCTCACTGATTTACATTACAAGCATCAGAATTTCATCATATAACTATCAGCATCTGCAGCAAATTGAGCCATAAAATATATGAGCCATAAAAGCCTGATGCATCAAATATGACCCAAAACACATATGCAGACTTTATTATAAACGGTTCTATTTATATTATTTCTTTACTGTGTTAAGCTGGTTTAGAGGTCCAGACTTCCTGTAAAACATGTGTTTTTGATGATACTCCTCCACTCCCTCCATCACTGTACTGTCAGCTGGAGTCACACAATGTGTCCTAATGATTACTTCTCACACCTTTATGCTATAAATAATGTGTTTGGATGGGAAAGCACTGAGTCATCTACTGTGAGCTTCCTTGTTTCTGTAGCAGGTTTATTGCTTAGGCAAGCATCACTATTACCGTTCACACTAAGGGTCATGAGACGTTTCTAAACGTGTGGATTGATCAAATCGTTGCTAAACCTTCTAAGCATTACTTATCGGACTTTTGCATTCTTGCGGTATCTGTAGCTTTAGTATACAGTGTCTTGGTTGTTTTCTGGAAGCTTTGTGTGTGAATAATATGAGACCGACTTTATAATGTGTAGTGGTTGAGTGACGTATCACAACGTCTTCTAAGCGCGTCTTCATTAGTTTACTATGTTTGTTCAACAGTTGAAGTCTTCAGATGCAAAAGCTTTTATGTCTCTGTCAGATTTTTCTTAATTTTTGTTTCTTTTAAATGAGCATTTTATCAGGCCCCTATGGTGAGGTTCAGTAATTTCACTTTAAAACCCATTGACAACCAGAAATACTGCTGATTTGACTTCACTGACATCGGATGAGAATAGAACGTGAACAGAATTGAGCTGGATGATGATGATGATGATGAAGACGCTGTTGTCTTCAGTAGAGATGCTTTATAGCTGAATCATTTGTTTTGATGAACTGTAAATGTATTAAGTGCAACATCAACACTTTGAACTGAACTAAATTACTATTTAACAATAATAGTTGTTGATAATGTTGCACTATTTATTCCAGGCCTAATGCAAACACGCAGAGTGTGTGTTGTAATCTTAAACATTATCCAGTAATGTGGCTCGTGTCCTAATCGCCGTGTTGGGCTCAGCCTATCATTGTTGACTGAAAGCAGCGGCTCTGTTTGAGCAGATAACCGCAGGGTCAGGAGGTGCTGTTGGGGTTTGCTGCTGCCTTCAGGGCTGTTGATGGATGTGAGCTGGATGGATGGAGGCGGTTATTTTTTGCCTGAAGGGATCAGTCATTGGGGAGGGCAGTATTTGCAGACAAACAGTCAGAAATACACAACCTTTGCTCAGTCATGGGAATATGAGTGAGCGGAGTTCACTTCTGCTTTTATTGAGATCGAGCTTACTGTACTATAAGAAAAACGTGTTTTATATGCATACTAATTAAACATTAATTTATATCTTGCGTAATTTTATAGGTAGTTAGGTCCAATTAATTATATTTAATAATAATAGGATCAAACTATTTGTAAGCTTTATGTAATCTTATGTGAGGTTTCTTTTATTATGCTCACTGAGGCTATGTTTATTTGATTAAAAGTACAGCAAAAATTGTGAAATATTATTGCAATTTAAAATAACTCCATTCTGTGTGAGTATATAGTAAAATGTAATTTATTTCTGTGATCAAAGCTGTATTTTCAGCATCATTACTCCAGTCTTCAGTGTCACATGATCTTCAGAAATCATTCTAATATGCTGCTTTGCTGCTCGAGAAACATTTCTGATTATTATCAATGTTGAACACAGTTGTGCCGCACAATATTTTTGCAGAAACTGTGATACATTTTATTTTTCTTGATTCACTGATGAACAGAAAGTTCAAAAGAACAGCATTTATTTGAAATAGAAACCTTTTGTAACATTATAATTATATTGCGGAATAAAAGTATTTACCCCCCCCACAATATTCCATTACACCATAATCATTTGAAAGCACTAAAGGTCAATTCTTGTTTATTACACTATTACTTTTACATTCCACTCAATCTCCTTTTTGTTGCCCCGTTTGTGAAAGTACTGATGGAAAATGCAAATGGAAAGTCTTTGTCGGCCTACATTAGTGAAATCATACATGCCTTTGCTGTGGAACTGCACGCACATTTGATTTGAAACTAACCTCGTCATAATTCATCGGAATAGTACAATTCTGGCATAATGGTCAAAAATAATGTGCTCTTCACTTTGATCCTCGTGAATGATCGAAGCCGTTATTCCAGGAAATGCTGTATAGCCTACGTTTCTCACACATTAGTGTTCGATTCAAGTTTATAGCGCTTTTCACGATACAAATCGTTGCAAAGCAGCTTTACAGGAAATTAAGTTTCTACATTATATTTAGTAGTAGCTTATCAGTGGTGAATGTCAAATTGATGTACATATGGCAGAAATGTTTGGTAAAATTCAGTTAAAGACGTAATCAAACAGACGATGAACACTATTAACAGCAATTATTATATGATGCAATCAAACTTCATACTAAAACTTCTTCATAGAGATCTTTTTTTGCAAGAAGGAGCACAATTGAGCAGACAACTTTTTCTAAAATTTGAGACATACACAGAAGATTTGAAATGGGTCTGCAATTTGCCAGTTCACTAGGATCTAGTTGTGGTTTCTTAATAAGAGGCTTAATAACCGCCAGCTTGAATGGTTTTGGGATGTGACCTAAAGACAACGACGAGTTAATACTATTGAGAAGCGGTTCTTCTGCTACAGGTAACAACTCTTGCAGTAATTTAGTGGGTACAGTATCTAACAGGCATGTTGTTGGTTTAGATGCAGTGATAAGGTAATGTCACTGCAGGTGATATTAGGTGTGTTAATTCACACCTCGTCTGCGTCTGCAGGTCGTAATGAGCCACTGAAGAAAGACAAGCTCAAGTGGAAGAGCGATTATCCCATGACGGAGGGCCAGCTCCGCAGTAAGAGAGATGAGTTCTGGGACACGGCTCCAGCGTTCGAGGGCCGGAAGGAGATCTGGGATGCCTTGAAGGCCGCCGCTGTGGCTCTGGAGTGTAACGATCACGAACTGGCTCAGGCTATCGTGGACGGAGCCAACATCACGTTACCACACGGTGAGTCTCTGATCGGCTGTGACCAAAACAGCTTTGTGTGTCTGACTTGCTGTCTTTTGAGGAACTGGAAAAATGTATTGTGCAAAATTGAAGTTACCATTTTTTTCTGGAAAATTGTCAAAACACTTTAGTTAGTGTTGCATGTACTAGGGGTGTGAATCGGCACTGGTTTCACGATTCAATTCGATTACGATTATCATGTCAACTAGGGCTGTGCAATTAATCAAAATACAATTTCGATTTCTGCCTCCATCGATTATGAAAATACAATAATTGAAAAAACGATTATTGCGCCCCATTCCATTCTCTTTCCAGCGGTGCGCTTTCGCTCCTCCATAAAAGCCCAATTTCACGTGCAAATCAGTAAAGTCATGAAACGTGGAAACGTATTCAACCTTCAGCCCAGTGTTTCATCTTGTTTGGCTTCGGCCAAGAATTTTCGTTTCAGTCCATCCCTAGTTTTTCTTCAGCATTATTGCCATTTGATTATTACTGATGAGATCATAGACAGCGGCAGCTTTAATAAGCTGCATTCACACTAATGCACAGATCGGTTTCGACATATCAGATGTTTTGTCCTGTTCTGAAAACATAACACATTCATTTCGAATCATAAAAGTATTCGGAGATGAAAGTACATTTAACCACAGCCGCGATCGAGCTTCAGGACAAACAAACACAAAGCGCATGTGAAAGTCTGTTGGAAGCACAGTCAAGCAATGCGCACGTGTCTCACAGCGCATATTCTGTGCAACGAAGCTGCCGCGATTGTGCGGGAAAAAGCCATGCTCTGATTTAAAAATAGAGTGCATTTTTAATACTCGTGTGACAAGCGTGTATGCACATGATGTCAGTAGGCTACAATCAGTTGTGGTCTATTACTGCATCGATGCAACGATTAATTTTGACACCCCTAGCATGTACTTGCTGTAGTGATAACAGTAAATTATGCATAATTACATGCAACTAACCGTAAGGAAAACCCTAATCCTAACTCTCTCCTGCAAGTTTTTGTATCAAACCTGTGCTCAAGTTGAATGTGAGGAAAGATTCAAAACCGAAATCCAAGAAATAAAACATTTCTATACTAAAGCACAAACCAGTCATTTCTTATTCTTGTTGCGTTGATCAATATTTACCATGAGTTACATTCAAAAGCACAGAGTGTGAGACATGAGTGAGGCTTTGAGAAGAGAAACGAGAGTCCATCTGTTGTCCAGTGGAGAATCTCATAGGATACTGTTAAAATTGGGGAAAATTAGGTGAGCAGCCCACAAAATAAAGGTTAAATATAAAGCCAACATATGGCCTAATCCAGATTTATATGCATACATCTCATTTGTTACAAATCCAATTGTTTCCACATTCCAGGTTTCCTACATATCTTCCATTTCAAAATTCCATACTTTTCCAGATTCAAATTTCCAAATAGATTTTCAGACAATATTCAGTAGGGGTGTGAATCGGCACTGGTTTCACGATTGAATTCGAATACGATTATCATGTCAATGATTCGATTTAATTCGGTATCACGATGCATCACGATTATATAACATTTATTTTTGCAATTCATGGAAATTACTTAAATCAAATTCCATACCTTTTCCAAATTCACAATGTAATGTTGAGTTTCCGTACTTGTTATTTATTATGTAAACAAGGCTTTGTCGTTCACTCATGTTTTAGTATCCACATAAAACAACAACTTTTACATGCATAAGGCGCTTTGGAATAATTTGGAATAATTATAGCTGGTTAAAGATGATAAAATCAGTCAGAAATGTTTGATTATTTTCAAATATGTGACCCTGCAGCACAAAAGCAGTCTTAAGTCGCTGGGGTATATTTGTAGCAATAGCCAACAATACATTGTATGGGTCAAAATTATACATTTTTCTTTTATGCCAAAAATCATTAGGATATTAAGTAAAGATCATGTTCCATGAAGATATTTTGTAAATTTCCTACCATAAATATATCAAAACTTAATTTTTGATTAGTAATATGCATTGCTAAGAACTTCATTTAGACAACTTTAAAGATGATTTTCTCAATATTTAGATGTTTTTGCTCCCTCAGATTCCAAATTTTCATATAGTTGTATCTCAGCCAAATATTGTCCTATCCTAACAAACCATACATCAATGGAAAGCTTGGAATTGACCCTTATGAGTGGTTTTGTGGTCCAGGGTCACATATCTTTAACTATTTTCAAATATTTGAATACATCTTTTTTTTTTTTGTTAGTTGTTGTTGTATTAAAACGTTTGATATTTTTCAACAAATAAACATTTAACCTTTTAAATACCCTGTTGTTCTCATAACCCAACCCTTATTTTCTTTATTGGTCTAGAGGGGAAGTTTTTACCATAATGAAGAAGTATTTAATAACATGAAAACAAAAGAAATGATGACACACACCAACCCTCTGTCTGTCTATCTGCCGCACTTTATTTCCCCATCACTGATGGTTGTTTGTACTTTCAATCACTCTCCAGGATCCCTGACCGAGTGTTACGACGAACTCGGAAACCGTTACCAGCTACCGGTTTATTGCCTGGCTCCGCCGGTCAATCTGATTACCGAAAGAAGTGAAGACGACCTGTCAGACAACCCCGAGCCACCGACCACACAGAAGAAAGAGTTCCAGCTGAAAGTACGGCTCTCCACCTGCAAAGACGTGCGTCTAAACGCCAGCATGACCGACACCATCGGCCTGCTCAAAAAACAGCTGCAAGCTCAGGAGGACATCGACCTGGCCCACCAGCGCTGGTTCTTCTCCGGGAAGCTCCTCACAGACAAGACCCGCCTGCAAGACACCAAGATCCAGAAGGACTTTGTTATCCAGGTCATCGTGAACCAGCCCACGCCGAACCACTAGGATGGACTACAAAGGGTTAAAGGACCAAACCACAGCAGCTGAGAGAACGTCGAACCGCAACACGTTTAGCACAAAACTGAATCGAGAACATTGAGCAACTTGATCCTGCTGTTTTAAAATGCTCTGGAGGGAAAAAATCTGTGAACATCTGGAGAAACAAATAAACCAAACGCAGTGGATCAGCGTGAATTTGGCAGCGACGCACACTGATTCGAGTCTCTTGACTGCATATCCCGCAAAACGGTCCTCTGAAAGCGATCTCTCCCCTTTTAAGATAATCGAACTTGAGCTTCATTTTGCACACTTGAGTATCTTAGAATAGTCGTGCCTTGAAAGAAGAGTAAATGCTGGCTTTATTTCGCTTACGAGGCACGTTCGGTTACTTTCACTCGCTTTGTACACAGAAAAATAAGGGGCCAGAATTGTACCTTTTGGGGTACAACAGCTTGTCCCGAAGGACATATTTGTACCTTTTTTACCCCAATAGGTACATATTAGTACCTTAAGTATTACTACTCTAAGGTACTAATATGTAGGGGTAAAAAAGGTACAAATATGTCCTTCGGGACAAGCTGTTGTACCCCAAAAGGTACAATTCTGGCCCCTTATTTTTCTGTGTACAAAGCGAGTGAAAGTAACCGAACGTGCCTCGTAAGCGAAATAAAGCCAGCATTTACTCTTCTTTCAAGGCACGACTATTCTAAGATACTCAAGTGTGCAAAATGAAGCTCAAGTTCGATTATCTTAAAAGGGGAGAGATCGCTTTCAGAGGACCGTTTTGCGGGATATGCAGTCAAGAGACTCGAATCAGTGTGCGTCGCTGCCAAATTCACGCTGATCCACTGCGTTTGGGGTACAAATATGTCCTTCGGGACAAGCTGTTGTACCCCAAAAGGTACAATTTTAAACCCCTTTTTTTCTGTGTGTATTTCAGGACTGACGTCTTTGAGCACAACTGTACTTTCTATGCAATCCTAAACTCCGACGCTGATGTCGTTCATCCGATGTAGCTAATCTACAATTCGGACACGTTCGCTGACGCGAGGCACTGCTAAAAGGCTCACTGAGACGATGCTTCACATCGTAGATTACAGATCATCTTGTAGATGAAACCGTATTGCTGCCTCCTAAAGGAAGATTGGACGCGCTACCAGACTTCGTCTTTTATAGTGCTGTTATGCTGTAAGCGCGCCGGCTGCAATCAGTCGATATTGCTACTATTTTGAGAGATTATATTCTGTACTATTCCAATCGTTACCCTGCTTTTTGTAATCACTTAGACTAAGACTTTTTGATGATTCTTAAACCTTTATCAGTGGCATTACGAGGCTGTTATATTTTGAGAATGCATTGCAACATTTCAACACATTCATCGCATCTGTATCTGTATCAGGCCTGCGACGCTTGGTCCTCAATGTCTGTTCATTTTAATGTTGTTTCTTTTACTAAAGGTTTTCTGCTCCTGATTATTTCACCGTGTGACTCAGCGCACACCACACCGGTTAGAAACAGCTCATCAACTTAACGGCAACTGTTCCTAATTAGCCTGAGTCTCCCGAGCGCCGGCGTGCTTCTAGCATCACGCCATTCCTTCTACTTTGGGTTACTACTTTCCTCTGTTGTTTTTAAGCATAAAAGATATGTGAAGATTTATGGATGAGAGAAATCACATTAATTTATCATTGCAAATTGCATAAGTTTCATTGGGCATGCAAATTGCATCATCAGAAAAAAATGTAACTCCATCATTTTAACATTTATGCACTTGCAATGTAAGTCCATGTGGTGTTTACTTTAGTAATTGACGACGGTATGCAGTAGATTCAAGGGATTGTTCAACAGAAAATGAAAATTCTGTCAAAATCTGAAAATGTGTCTTACATTTTTCTTTTGTTTTTGTTTTTTTCATTGTGTCATTGTGGTCCAATGATATTTTATTTGACATAAAAAGTTGAAATTATGATATAAAAGATCATGTTTATGAAATAAGGCATTATGAGATAAAGTAATTATGAGATAAAAAGTCAAAATGGATATTGCAATTGAGAAGCAAAATTATGAAAATTCATGTTGACTTGAGATCATAATTCTGACAAAAATTTCAACTTGAGAAGTCAAAAATATGACTCCTATTATGATTATGATACTGTCTCAAACTTTAGATAAGTCATAACTCTGACAAAATCACAACTTATAACTTATCTCAATTTTGGCCTATACGTATTTTGACTTTTTCGCAAGTTTAAATATTTGCCAGAATTACGATCTCAATTTTGACTTTTCATAATGTTGCTTTTTATCTCATACTTTTGGCTTCTTTTCAAAATGTTCTCATTTTTATTTCATAATAAAAGCCAGTGTGGTCCAGTGTTGTTTTGGACCACACCGGCTGTCAATTCATGTACAAAAACAACAGCAGAAGCATTTCTTTATCTTTTGTGCTTTGCAGAAGATAGTAAGTCACACGGGTTTGAGTGAATAATGTCAATTTTCATTTTTGGGTGAACTGTCCCTTTAACCTGGAACATTCCCAGTCCTGCACGTTGTAAAGCACATGCCCTGTGGAAACAACGCAGCGTCGAGTATCGGCAAGAAAACCTACGAACATCGTTTAGTCCAAAAATTCACTCGGCTGTCTCTATAAACCTGTCCTTAGTCAACACAATATGAAACCCTAATGCTGTGACAACAGCCCAAATAGATGCTAAGGATCAGTGTTGGGGAAAGTTACTTTTAAAAGTAATGCATTACAATATTGCGTTACTCCATAAAAAGTAACTAATTACGTTACTTAGTTACTTTTTATGTAAAGTAATGCGTTACGTTACTTCTGCGTTACGTTTTAAATCTGGACAGGGCTTGCTTGTTTGTTTTTAAAATAAAAAAGTTATATTTTTGGCAAATATAAAAGCCTTTTCACACCAAAAGTGAAATGAATAAGCCTCAGGCTGAAGGGAAAGTAAATTTACGTCCGTACAGTAGAATGCAGAAGAAGACATTTCAACACACTTCAGCAGTAAACAAAGACACACAAATGTTTGTCTAGAGTAATTTGTGCTTATTAGTACGGTTGAACTGGATCATCGAAGGTCAGAAGCAAATAGAATGGGATTAAATACATAAAGCATATTTGTGTTGTTTAACATTTAATTATTGCAGGTTTGCGTCATATTCTGAGTTGCATTATTTTTATTCATTTTGAGGAATACTGAATCTGTGGGGGTTTTTTTGTGAGTGAGATAAATTAATGCATATTCATATTTATTTTAGAACTACAGTAACATCTTCTGATTTCTGTCACCATGGCGACACCAGAGCTGTCAATCAATAAATGGGAAAACAAAGTAACTTGCGTTACTTATTTGAAAAAGTAACTCAGATATTCTCTTGTAAATTAAAAAGTAATGCGTTACTTTACTAGTTACTTGAAAAAAGTAATCTGATTACGTAACTCGCGTTACTTGTAATGCGTTACGCCCAACACTGTTAAGGATATCGTTATTCTCTCATCGGCATCCGCTTTGTCTTTCTGACATGGCAGAAGAAAAAAAACAACTAATTGCTACACTTCTGTTAGTAATATTAAAAAATGAGTGTAAAATGTCAGAAGATAATTTAAAGGGTTAAAGTGACAATACAGGGATAGGTCTGTATTTTGTGTTCATCCACATGCTTTACAAATATGTGCTGATTGTGATTATAATGGTTTTAGATTTGAGACCGCGAAGAGAAACCTTGCTGTTATTTCTGCTGTCATTCTAGGTTCGATACGACAGTTCTTCTGCATTCAAGGTTTTCTTTATGTATTGTTCGTCATCTCTGCTTGAATGTATGTCTGATGTGATGTGGATTTAGGTGTGTCTCATGACATGAAGTTTCCAGATTTGACTGAGGAAGCTGCTATGAAGCCATACATGTGGATCTTCGTTGGGACAATTTCAGGAGACGCACTTTGGACATTTTTCGTTCAAATCCCAGAATATAAGAAGCCATCGCTCTTTACTCAAGCCTGTGTGTATGGAAGCCCATTTCTGCCACATAAGAAAATAATCATGTTTTACTGAATCATGTAGGGTTGCGAAAAGGTGGAAAATTACCAGTAAATTTCAGAAACATTCCAGAAATTCTGCAAAGATTTTTTTTTGGAATATTCCAGGGATTCTGGATCTCATAATCGTGAATTTCGACTGTCGTAGTCATGACTGTCTTATAGAGTTTTATCTTATAATTGACATATTTCATCATTTTGACTTTTTTGTCAATTATTTTTGTCAAAATTTCAACTTTTTGTCATAATTGACTTCATACCTCATAATTATGACTTATCTTATCACAATGGTTTACCAAAGCATTATTTTTTTTGTTCTTCCATGGCAGAAATATCCCACCCACAAAACACATTAACTTTTCATAAACCCTTCATAGATGAATATTTGTATATTATTAAGAGATAAAGTGTGTGAAATTCTTACCTAAATTTGCTTACGGCCTATTTTACAAAAGTTATGTATACATTTACAAGGTAATTAGTTTTTCAGATGTTTTAAATTGTCAATTAAAGTTAACAGCTGGGAAAGCAAACAGATGTTTGTCAGTAAACTTAATTATTTCAACGTTCTCAGATCAGCTATTGTTCAGTTTCCTCTGCAACAAGACGTGTTTTATGTGTGTAGGACAAGTTAGTCAGACCTTAACTCATAAAACAAATGTTTATGTAATTTTGAAGTTAGCCACCTCAGAACGCACTGACATCTTGATGTGGTTAATATAGCTGTAGCATGAACTTCATAATTCTCGTACAATTAGAATGAGTATAAAAGTATGTATTGTTGTCGTTATAGTTGGCTCTGGACCTTCTAACATTTATTAGTAACCATACTGTATACAATACAGTTCTTGGAAACTGTCTCAAGTTTTACAATTTTGAAGAAAATATTACATTTCAATTTTTTATTATTTACAAATATATCTAACAAGTTAAATATTAAATAATAATTATTAAATATTAAAAAGTATGATAACTGATACAAGTAAATGAAGGTCCAATATTTCCATAACCGTAATGATAATTGAGAAAAATCCATTATCAGGATAGCGCCATATTTAATTTCTGACGGGAATGAAAGCGAGACTGTTGGGGACAGAAGTAGTTTAAAGTCCGCGTGAACCGGAAGTTGCTGCTGACTTTATTTCAGTGTAATGACGTATTTCTATCTGAAACGGAATATTGAATAGAGGGCATGGTTTTATTTTGGCGCTCCTCCTCTCAGTCTCTCACTCATAGCAAACTAACCGTTGGAGGGGTGTGTTTAAAAGGATATTCTGCCCAAACCGTCAAACTGACATCATCAGAGAAGGACTGCCATTCCGGAGCAGAAGCAAATGTTCAGATTTTGATTACAGATTACCAAAACAAACTATTTTTCTCAGCGGATTAACTTGCACAG